ATGATTTTGATTATAACTAAAACTGTTTGTCTGTATTGTAGACGAGAGACGAGAGGACACGAAAACGCCGACCAAAATGTCGAGAACCACATCACGAAAGACACCGAAACCATCGCCAGTCAAACCCGAGTCACCGGCGGATCAGTCAACAGAAGCGGTGGCCGGGGCTGAGGCCACACCTGGCGATAGGGCCGCGCAATCGGATGGTGCGGATGACGGGACCAAATACTACGAGCAACTGCTGACCAGAGGAGGTCTCGTGAAGTCTATTTCGGGATATAAGGGACACAAGAAGAAGACACCGACAAAATCGGACAAAACCACGGCTAAGAGTCCCCCAAAGCCCACGGAATAACATGTGATGTCATTTCGCTTCATATCAAAGACCAAACATTTCACTCATTTATCTCACATTTCTTCGCAATATTTAAACAGTTTTGCAAAAAATAACATTAATTACAGCATTAAAAACATTATTAAATTTTTGTATTCATAACTATTTAACAAATAATAATTTAACAATAAATACAGAAATAAAACCAAAACTAAAGTTAAAAGTGTTTGCATTGAATATGAATAGAGACCACAAAACAGGGGTTAGTTTGTGACAGAAATGTTTGATGGCTTCAAATCTTGTAGACGTGAAGATTGTTTTTGGTGTTGACGTAAACGCAGACATCTCTATACCTGTCGTCCGAGTCGTGGAAAGAGATGTGAAAACTGATTTGCGGCCGCATTTGGGCCAACACTTTGAACGCCTCATAACTGACTTCATTCAAGTCGTTGGCGAACTCGATGTCAATGAGCCGAACGGTCGGACACCTGGCCATCAACTCTACGATACCCTCCACTGTCAACACATTCAGGTCTATATTGCCCTCCAATACGATTGTCCGCAATCGAGACAATCGGCACAAATGTCTTAAGCACTCGTCGGTCAGCAGTTGATCCGAATTGAGTTTAACGGCCGTCAGATTAGGCATCAATTGGTGGATGTGTCGCAAGTGGTCGTCAGACAACACCTCAATCGAGACAATTGGCACAAATGTCTTAAGCACTCGTCGGTCAGCAGTTGATCCGAATTGAGTTTAACGGCCGTCAGATTAGGCATCAATTGGTGGATGTGTCGCAAGTGGTCGTCAGACAACACCTCAAACATTAGGTTCAATTGGCGTAAGTGTTGGCCATTGTGTGCATTGAAGCCCAAAGAGTTGACGGTCTGGAAGTGTTTGTCTCCGATATCCCAAAGAGACAAATCCAAGCGCTCTAAGCGCTCAAAATGGCGGCCAAAGATCTTGAGGAAGTCGTCGCTGATTAGGTCACCGAAGATACAGATCTCGAGTGATCGCAAGTGCGGACACTTTTGGCCAATGAGTGCGAGACTCGTGTCAATCAATTGGCAGTCGTTTTGTTTGATGAAAAACAGCTCCGAATCGAGTCTTAAGAGTTGAAGGTTTGGCACATTTGCCACTAATTTGAGCGCATTTTTGATGCTATACTTAAAGTGTTGATCAAAACTAAGACTCAATTGTTTGAGTTGTTTGCCGTAGAGTCGGGTCAACACTTCCAAGTCGTCGGGCGAGGGATTGGCCGCAGAAATGTTGTCCAATTTGGGCAAAAACGGTGTCATATCGTCGACTGTGGCGGTCGTGTCGGCGCAACACATCACAAGTGACCGCAGATTATGCTTCAGATCAATGGCCCGCAGATTGGGTCCAAAAAAGGGCAAAACAGTGGCCAATCGGTCGGACGACAGGCCGGCGATCGACACGTATCGCAACGTCTGACCGAAGAGTCGACAAAATCGGTGCAACACTTCGTAACTCACATCCGAACGGATCCTTATGTCTAACCACTTGAGCGAAGACAGTGTCTGATTGTCGTACAGCTCTGACATCACGTCCAACACGTGTTCATCGCATTTGCAGTTCGGGTCGATTAGCAGTTCCGACAAGTGATCAAACTTCTGGAGCAGCGAACGCAAGAGCCGGGCGTTCAGTTCAAACGTCTGGATCTGATGGACGTAAGAGCGGACAAAGAGTGGTGACCACCGCTCGCACCGAAGCCGGTGTCTCAAGAGCTCAAACCGATGGTCGCCGGCGAACACCACTCGACGCCACTGTTTGGACACACATTCCAGTGATATCTTCAGCTCCAGAGGAAGCCATGAGAGCAACACTTGCGCCAAATCGTCGCCAAACCTCTCCATAGAGTCTCTGTCTTCGGCCGAACTCATTGTCTGTCGGATGAAATTGGCGTTCAATTGATCCCAAGAAATGTCTGTATTTTTGTTTTGTAAACACTTGTTATGCAAAACATATGATCGCGTTTTGAATACACTCTACTCTCGTTATAAGTGCCGTACAATACGTACAACTCGTTTTGCAAACAATGTTTTGTGTGTTTTATTTTTTTAGTGTTACGTTATGTCCAGTGATTTAATGTGTAAATTATAGTTAATTTAACACATATTTGTCGCTATTGTGTACACAAATTAATTGATTTATTTGGTGTACACTATTGCGAGTATGTATTGTTAGAATTGGTGGTAAACACTGTTTTGTGTATTTTCATCCATAAAACACGTCTATTACTAGTTTTGCTGTGAATAGGGATAAGAAACTTATGGAGTAGGAACGGAATCATGGGAATATTCCCGGAGTTTATTGGAGTTTATCGGGAATTTATTATGGACTCCCTATAAATTCCCTACATTTTTCAACGGCTAACATTAAAAACGTTTTCAAGCGGTGCTGCCATCTAGTTAAGAGCATTAATTTCCTCATTTTAGTGGGAATTTATCGGGAATATTCCCACTGGGAATGTTCCCGACAAGGCATTTATTTTTATAAACTCCTTTTTTAATATCACTAGCTGTGAATTTAAGTTTTGTTTGATTTCTGTGTTAAACAAAGTTTTAAAGTTTTTAACAAATTGTGATTTAATTAGAATGAATGCTGAAATGGATGACATATTCATATAGCAATATTGACTATAAATTACTAACAAATTGGTAAACTATCGTTATCCTGGGCAGCAAAAAAACACTGTTAAAAAAATTTGTCTCTTTCGCACATAAAACGTTAGACTATTATTTTAGGTTCAAAATCATTTATTTTAAATTGTTTTAAAAATCAATAAATCATTATAAAAATTACAAATAATTAAAAATTAATCTTAACAAATAAAAATTAAGCTCTGGCCAAATAATTTATCACTGAGGCCTCGATTCAGTATTAATTCAGATTATAATTTAATATCACAATAATGATTAGAATTGAATAAAAATTGATTAGAAATATATCACAATTAATTAGGAAGTACACCAAAATCATTGTCTTCATTGTCTTCATTGTCTTCATTGTCTTCATTGTCCTCATTCTCTGACATTTCTATGTCTGTGTCGGAGTTATCAACAGCTGGAATCGGTTGAACTATGTCCGGAACCAGCACAGGAATTGGTTGCTGTTGAAATGGTGTTGAATTAAATTTCGGGTACAGTACCCCGACTTCTTGAATAAAGCGCTTAACTCTAGCGCCGATGTTTGGAATGGGATTGAGTCTAAATTAAAATAATTAATTATATAGAATAAATATATATCTTTATATATACTAACACTGATCGGAAAAAGATGTAACGATCGATGTATCCGTCAACAGATCTAATAAGGTTTCCGTCATTATCAATGAACTCATTTAAAGAAGGGATGTTTTTCTTCAAATGTTTCCACGTCACTTCAATGTGATTAGTGGTTGTGACGTAATGACGGTCAGCTCCAGTCTCGTCGGGAAGAGTGAAATGATGAGAGAATTGTTGATTTCGATGGTTGACTGTGAAATGTTGCCCTAAACCACGTTGTCCATCATATTGTCCAAACCGGTCATTACTGGTGAGATTGGTATAAACGCGGGCACTATCAGTGTTTATAGTGGATCCCGGTTTCACCCAACTGGCGACAACACCATCAATTGTTGGGATGTCTCGTCGATCGACTCTTAATTAATATATTGTTATTAAACTATATGTTATTGAAGCATAATAACTACCTTTCAATGAACAGAAGTGAATTATTTTCACGACAGACGCCTCCGACAACCCAAATGCCTGCATTTGCCAGAGGACTACCGACATTGTATTTGGTTTTATACAAATGTGTCTCGTCGATCTCCACTGTCAACGATGGTCCGCCAACTGTATTACCAGGTGTTTGGCGTTGACGATTGACCCAATCAGTGCAGACTTCGCGCATAAAGTAATACCAATCACAAGCAGTGTTGGGTCTAACCTCCGCAAATTGAGAAGCCATAGTCGCCGGTGTTTTGGACACAAAGTGATAAAGAAGACTAAATATCTTAACAAAACTCAAATTTGACTTCTCAAAGAATGAGCCCTCAATCGGATTAAACGAGTGGCCACATGTCGCCCTACTATAACACCTATAAACCAAATATTAATATATTTTTTCAAAGATAATTTTAATAAACCTTAATCTGAATCCTATTTTGTGTTCGGATTTTTCACACCTGATTGGTGAACCACAATCAGGACATGTCGCCAATCGAACACACTCTTCTTTAGTGGGGAGAAGTCCTAAGTTTGTTAAAGCTTTGATCACTTTATCATTAGTTTCAAAGCCTCTGATCACAGGAATTGCGTTATTAAACGGATCCGGAGGGGGTTGTGCGGCTGCCATACTATTAATATTATAAATATACAAAATATGCATTAAATATAAAATAACTATAACAACTTCTACGTTGAGTATACTATAAGGACCAAAGTCCCTATACTATGGATTGCCCAAATCGGGTATTACGGGCACGTTACAATACGGGCCCCTTTCGGGCAGAGGTCGCCCATTTGGGCAGGGTTTGTTTTTTCTGGTTGGCTAAGCTCAACCGCAGCTAGAGGTCTCAGGTGTCTTCAGGGTCCCCGTACGACCCGCTGGGCGCTCATTTAGCATTCCCCGGTTGACGACTTGCACGCAGCTCAGTAGCGTCTTCCGGGGGCGGGGGTCTATCTCCCGCTTAGACACCAACACTCCTGATCTTACCTAACTGCCTACGGTTAACAACACAATCGCCTTATCAGCTGATCGCTCATAACATGCTTTTATAGTGTTGTTCATATATAGCGAAATCAGCTGAATTACAACATGCTGTTCATCAATTACGTCAAACATAAAATACAGTCAAACCTCTTTATATTTAGTGAAATGCTTAATATCTAAAAAAAATATTAATTTGATTTTGAAACTGATTCGATATTCGAGATCAGCGTTAAATTCTACATTGATTTGATATATCACAATAAATTTTCAAATAATTTTTCAAAGGGGGTAGGTAAAAAAAAGTGGGCGGGGGCGTGGGCGGGGTCATTAAAATTGTTCGCCTATTTATGCTGGTCATAAATATATATATATATGTATGTTTATTTTAATTTAATAGTGCTGCCCAGGATAACGATAGTTTACCAACAAATTATTTTCTATCCACACTAACTGTATATTAAATTTATATTATTAATACAGTGTTTTGTCAAAACCATATTGGTCTTAAATTAAATTAAATTTGTGATCATTATATTCGCTGGCATTTTGATAATAATGTGAGATTTATGCATATTGATCATGATCGTAATTTTGTGATTATTAATTGTATTTTTGGCTACAATTGAACACTTGTTAAATATATATATATTTGCAAAACAAAACTAGAACAAAAATACATGCTATAAAGTATTAAATTATTTTCCTATAACTTTCAGTGTATTAATAAAAAGTGTATATTTATACTTTAATATAGCTTCAAATACTGCTGTAGGTATTTATACATAAGCTGTGTTATAAAATGCACATAACATAGCATATAGGTTTTGGTACCTTTAACTTTCAGTGTATTAATAAAAAGTGTATATTTATACTTTAATATAGCTTCAAATACTGCTGTAGGTATTTATACATAAGCTGTGTTATAAAATGCACATAACATAGCATATAGGTTTTGGTACCTTTTATGACATGCTATATCCCGCTTGTATTTATCGTTTGCATGTCATAAAAGGTACCAAAACCTATATGTTATGTTATGTGCATTTTATAACATTTATAAATATACACTTTTTATTGATACACCTAAAGTAATCACTAATTATACTGAATGCTATACAGTTAAACATTTATGTTCCTGGGAATTTGATTGATAACAGATTAGTTGACAACACAGAGATAATTTTAACATTAAGTCTATGTGGTGGGTATTTGAGATTTGGTTGATAACATAGAGAAGTTGGTAGCATAGAAGTTTGACTGTAATTACTGTTTCTAACATTAGTTGAAATTAAAATGAACATTATATTTATAATATTGATACTAATAATACAGTTAAAACTGCTAGTGATAGCCAATAATGTTAACAAACATTACGATTACGTGATAGTTGGCGGGGGAACTGCCGGCTGTGTTGTGGCCGCACGACTCAGCGCTCAACCAAACACGACTGTCCTGTTGATAGAGGCCGGCGGTCACAACACTAACAGTTCTCTAGAGGTGAGCGGATTGTATCATTACGTGGCACAAATGTATGGCCACCAAAATGTGCAGCAAATGCTTTGGCAATATTACGATAGGGGCCAAGAGTACGCGGGAGGAGCGCTGCCACAGGGTATACCTGTGCCGGTGGGTAAAGGTTTGGGCGGCTCTTCTTCTTGTAATGGTATGATTTATTTGAGAGGAAATCGACGAGACTATGAACACTGGGCGGCCGCGTGTGGGGCCACGGGCTGGTCGTACGACCAAGTATTGCCGTATTTTATTCGCGCCGAAAATCTTACCGATAGTAATGTTAAGCATTACAACCTCTCATTTCACGGCACGGCCGGACCCTTACCCGTGTCAACACCGGCCGAACCGATGTCCCCGTTGTTTAACGTATTGAATAATGTTTATAAAGAGTTGGGACACAATCTGGTCAGTGATCTGAACGGTGAACAACAATTAGGCGCCGGTTTTGCCCAAATGAACACGAGAGCCGGTATGCGTGTCAGTACAGCTCAGGCATACCTCAGACCAAATTTACATTCAAATCGATTAAAAATTTTGACCAATTCATTAGTGACCAAAATTATACTGAAAAACTTAACAAACAATTTGCTGAATACAAATTGTGGTAACAATTATCAGGCGATTGGAGTCGAGTATAAGACGGGTGATGACGTTCATAGAGTGTTCGCCAACAGGGAAGTCATTTTAAGCGCCGGTAAATATATCAAAACATTGAACATTCTAATTTATACATGTTTGATACAATCCCTAATTCAGGTGTAATAAATTCGCCACAGATTTTAATGTTATCGGGAATCGGATCACGTGATCACTTAATGAGTAAAGGTATCGATACGCTTGTAAACGCCCCGGCAGTGGGCAAACATCTGGCCAATCATCCCATTGTCTATACGTTTTCTCTGCTTAAAGACCCCAAACTCAATGGTCAGCCATTACCTAAATTAGATATGAAAGATTTAAATAAATTTATACTAAACAATGAGCACGTGTTAAGACGTTCCCTATGCTATCATATGTTGTACACAAACACTTCCCAAAATCGGGACAATTTGTGGCCAAACATTCAGATCAAATCTTTTCAATCGAAATACAATATATTAGATGTGTTTATAATGGGAACCAGTCTTATGCGGGGCCGCAGTCGGGGATCCGTACGTCTGGCCACAAAGAATCCGACCGACGCTCCCATAATCGACGGCCAACTGTTGTCAAATCCGATGGACAGACGGGATATGTTTGAAGCCCTCAAATATACCCTTTTTGTGGCGCTAAATACATCGTTAGCCCGATATATGACAGTTATACCAATGGTGTTGTTTGGGTGTCGGGTGTGCGCTGACCGGCCTTTATATGACTGCCACTCTTATATTGAGTGTGTTATACGACAGACAACTATAACATACTTACATCCGATGGGCAGCTGTCGTATGGGTGGCGTCCGCTCCCAATGCGGTCCACACGATGTGGTCTTAAATGAAAAACTGGAAGTGAGAGGAGTATCGCGCCTAAGGGTTTGCGACGCTTCAGCCTTTCCCGATATAGTGAACGCCAATACAATGCCCACAACTGTTATGTTGGCTGAAAAGTGTGCAGAGATGGTGATTCAAAGTAGAAATTAACTAGTTTTTTGTTTTAAATGTAATTTACTTATTTGTTTGACAAATATCATATCTAACAACATTTTCATGAATTAATAAATCCATTTATTGTATTTGCAATATAATGTAATATAAATATAGAATGTTGCTTTTATTAATTATCAAAGTAATAAAATTTCAATCACAATTACATAGTTAAAAGTTGCATAGTCTATAAGTAATGTAAAGTTTTAGTTTTAACGTAAAACAAAACTACAAATATAGTAAAACATATCTATAAGTAATATAAAGCAATGCTATAAACGAGGGCCAGAATGACAGACCTAAGCCAACAACCCTATAGTCCGGATATCCGGCCCAGAATAGCACTCGACCCGCAAAATACAATATATTCATGACAGGTATGACATCGACCAGTACTCGAGGCGACGTATATGTAACCAGAATTAGTTGCGAGAAAACCGATAACAAAAACTGTTCGACAGAGTTATTGAATATATTTTTGGCGCCCACTACCAGGTGCTCGTAGTCGGCACGGGTCGGGTCCATTGCTGGGCTATTAGACCGTCGGTACACCACATAACCAAAACACCAGACGAACCATAATAAGCTAGGGCTGGAGTGTCGCAATACGTACTGTAGCCGCGAGGCCAGCGGCTTAAGCGAGTCTACTTTGATACCCTGATAGGCAGCGAAGTCCAGGTGCCCGGCGTATAAGGCGTACCCGACCGCTGCCAACACACCGAACTCAATGGGCAATTGAATGGCGAACGATGTCATCATCTCAGCCATCCGTTCCCTCTCTTTAACCGAGTATTCAGTATTTGATGACATTTTTAATGATTTAATTGTTGTTTAAGATGAATAATATTTAATATTGTAATAGATATTATTAATACAATTCTACAATTACTTCTGACATTTTACTAAAATTACAAGTCATAAGTTATTAATAATTTACAATTCAATTCTGAAAGTATTGTACAGAATATTTAAAATGATTATTTATAATTGTAAAAATATGAATTTCTAAAAATAAGATTTATAAATTGTGAATAATTTTAAAACATGTATTTTGTAACGTGTAAAACACGTTTATGAATTGATGCAAAACGATTATATTATAAATCACATGAACAATTAATTATTTGGATACTAAATTTTTATTGACATTATCATTTATGAATTAAATTCAAATATTTGGTGGTCATTATCAGTTTACACTGTTTGATTCACTTTAACCTTGGCGCATAATATGAATTCTAAAAGGTTTGAGACCTGTTGCTATAGCCTTTAATTTATAATAAACAAAAATCAGACAGCAATATGCTATACGTAAACTACAATTCGAGTATTGCTCAAAGAATATATAATATTAGCGTTGTCTATAGATTTAATATGAGCACTTTTTCAGCATTTTTTCTATAGAGTTAACATGCAATAATCCTATACGATCAACATTGTCCATAGATTTAGCAGTGCCCATGTTAATTTGCCTATGACATAGTCTTAGAACTACCTATACAATTAACTTTGTCTATAAGCATTCTATAAGCATTGTTATCCCTATGCAATAGACTTAAGCTGTAATCCCATAGGAAGCTATGTAAAGACATTTTCGCATAGTAAAATTGGTTCTCATGTTATCCTATGGGAGTCTTCCTTAAGCTGTAATCTCATGTTAAATCCCATAGGATTGGGGGAGGGGGTAGCCGAACGATCTTATAAACCACATTATTCAATGCTGAATTCTGATATAATAAAATAATATTAACTGGATTACTTTATATTTGATCTAAAATGGTATTTAATTATCATAATAATTAAAATATTTTCCTTGGAAATCAATTAATATTACAAAGTATACTTAAATTCATTGACATTTTTTTTATATTGGTTTGAAAATATTGGCAACACCATATATAGAAAGCAAATTACCATCATAATATTTTGAGAGGTTCCTCGAGCTTAACTAAATCACAACTCAATTCCCATAGAGTTTTGGCAATTTTGTCGTCAGTCGCTTCGGGTATCATATTATCGACGCGAACACAATTACTAAATAAAATTCACAAATAAAACACAAAACATAAATACATGAAATTTTTTGATTATTTATAATAAATAACCCAATAATTATGGTAAAGTGCATACTCATAAAAATACCCTGTCTCATCTGCCAATTTATCGTCGAGAGCGCAGTAAAGTGTGGTCTGAGAGCCCATGAATGGTGTTATGTAAAAGTTACGCAAAAACCAGCCCCTGTCCCCCCGTTTCCCTAACATCTCTGTGTGTCGATACAGATCTGTGTCTATGACTCCCGGATGCAAACAATAGGTGTTTATATTTGAGTGGAGGAGCCTTTTGGCCAATTCACGGCTGAACAACACATTTGCGAGTTTGCTCCGGGCGTACGCGTAGAAGGGATGGTATACACCGTTTTGAAGGTTTATATTATCAAGGTGCATTTGGCCAAACCGATGGAGACTTGAGCTCACAGTCACTATACGACCCGACTGTGCTTTCTTTAGCATTGGTATCATATGTAGTGTAAATAGAAAATGACCTGAAAATTATAGATTCAGAATTACTTCGTATGTTTTTCTTATAATTTTTATATACAAAAATTTATTGATGTATTTTTATATTAAAGGGGCTAAATTGTAATAACGGAATCAATAATGTTTCAAGGAAATCCACGCAATTTATACAAAATATTAAGGACTTTAATGGATAAAATACATTACAAATAAAATTTTCAAAGAAGTTTGAACATGGCAACACTATTTGGAGATCATATACTTCTGGTGTTGATGTAGTATTAAAAACCGATTGGGTATATACTTATTATTTTTACTTTATATAATTTAGTATTAATATTAGCAGGGATCTGCATGTTGAAATGTAATTGTAAATAATCAGTACTGTATGAGTTCTAAATATAGCGATATATTTGATAGCATTAGTCATCCTATAACTAAAGTATAACCTCACTATACAAAAGTGGCCCATTATCGGCCCCTGCGCCGATTAGTGAATATTAGTATAATAGTAACTTAATATTAATATATTATTGCTATATAATATTACCAAGGTGATTAGTGCCGAAATGCATCTCAAAACCGTCGTGAGTGGTCCACTCCGGACATCCGCCGACACCGGCGTTATTGATAAGTATATCCACTTTTGTCTCCAAAGCCGACAACTCTTTGACACATTTTCGGACAGATATGAGTGAAGACAAGTCCAGAGAAAGTAAAGAAATGTTTGCCTTTGGATTCATTGATAGGATGTCTTTGACGGCTGTCTCTCCTTTCTTCTGGTCTCGACAACAGATGTATACCTTATTTTAGTCAACAGAAAATTGCAATAAATTTTAAATAATTAAATATTCATTATGTTAATTAATTAACTTATTTTGTTATATTTTGCTTGTGTAAAACATTAATAATATGAATTTATATTTATCTTATGATATAAAACTTATTGTATTATGATAAATAAACAAATATTAATTTTAAATGTACAGTACCTGAGCTTCTCTGAGTGTGAGTTGATATGCAGTCTCTTTTCCGATGCCTGTATTACCGCCGGTCACTACAACTACCTGTCCGTTAAGTTTCTTATCACTGGTCATCCGTCGGCGCCAACCAATGAAGTTATACATAAACTCAAACACAATAATATATATTATATGCCAAATGTGTTTCAATTTAAAGTGGTATAGAATTCCCATTGTTTTAACAAAGATTTATTATAAATTATAAATGTTATCAACAAATATTCAACTTATATTACATTTTAATTTATTATATGCATTAACCTATTAACTAAGCACATATGGTTAAACTTATAATTTAAGTTGAAAATTGTTGTTTATTAGTTCTAGCCGCCACAGATCCCCTCTCTCTTTCTATCAGAAATAAAATGAGAGTTTATGGCTGTATATTAACATTGTATTAATATTGAGTTTATTACAAATGAAAGTTTGATATATTAATAGACTTGAAATGGTTGACAGTTTATAAAACTAATTAAATAAATAAGCAATTTATAATTATTACAGTAATAAACTAGTGCTATTCTACTGTATCTGAAATAAATCNTTTAATTCAACATATATAGTTCTATACAGTTTTATGCTGTCAATATTTTTGATTTGTTTTATTAAAATTTCTGTTAAAAATTGCTTAAAATCTTTCAATGCTATTTACCATTTGATATTGATTTAGTTACTGTCATAATGGTAAATACCATTTTTAATACAATTTTATTTCATTATTTATGAATCAATTTCACGATTAATATTCAAATAAATATTTTAAATAGAGTTAATATTCGCTATTATGAAATAAAAGATATTTAAACTTGTTAGGGCTCATGTCATCTGTTTTAACTTTATATTATTCTTGTTTTCAATTTTTGATTTGTTTTCAATATTGATGAGAGCCTTCGCTATGAGTACATGTATGGATTTGGGATGTTTGCCGGTGGGGGGTGGTATGCTATCCCAGTTGCATGTATGCACTTTGTTGATACTGGTGGACAAAGCATACAATGAAATGGGGCTCAAAAATATTTGTACAATTGCTTGCGATTCCGTAGAATTAACTACATTTTTCGTCGATTCGACCCATTTTTTGATAAAACTATCAGATATAATAAATTTTAAAAACGATTTCAACTCTCTCTCTCTCTCTCTCTCTCCCTCTCTCTCTCTCTCTCCCTCTCTCTCCCTCTCTCTCTCACCATTTGATGTCGTCTTTGGTGAAGTTGGTGTCGTGTTGTGCGGCGGCGACCATCGCTCGGGTGAATCCATCCCTAAATGGTTTCATTTGTAGGTTTGAGTCGTGAACTTGTTTGAGATGTTGTAACCAGTCCTCCATTTTCCCTCTTTTCAATTGATCGCAAAAGTCTTTGTAAACGTTTAGGCCTTTTAACACAATATTGAAGAACTGATCGGCACTCGCGTGATGTCCGTACAATTCTTTTACAATTTTTTTGGTCTCAGGTCCAATTAGTATTGATCCACTATTTATAATGTGATTGGGGTGAAGCTAATTATAAATTGACGTGGTTATTGATAATTTATATCCTATTATTCACTATTACCATTACTCTTATTATTGTAATCGAGTGCCCAGTTTTATATTATGAGTATAAAATTTTAATTTAAAATCACAGCCCTTGTATAAATATGCACAATATATAAGTTATATATATTATATGAGTAAAACTTAAATGGAGTATAAATTAGATTGCAATAAAATTACCCTACAGATAAACTGATCAGATGTGTTTATGACAATTCTGAATTTTGGGCAAAAATCAGCTGTATTATCCTGGATACTTGGACATATTACTAATTTTAGCTATATTAGCCTGGACGCCTTCATAGACTTAATGTTTAAAATATTTTAAAATTCTGGACAGGCCATCTAATTCCGGGACAATCCAGGCCATTTCTGGACATCTGGTCAGTCTACCTACAGATGCCCTGACCCATACATAATATATAATGTATAACTTATTTATATATTTTGTATATTTATTTGACTAGACTCAACTGCAACATATCGCTTTTATATATTTAACTAAACACAAGAATATTAAATATTGTTATATAAATACATATTTTTATATTCAACAATTTCCTTATTTCCACTATCTTACATATATATAATATAATTTGTAATTATTTAACAATATTGTAATAATAATAATGATAATAATATGCTATGTAATGCTGTTAACGAGTAAATCACAAATTAACCATAATGACTCAATTGTTTTCTATTAGAGATATAAACAACCTATATTATTAATAGAAAAATTGAATTTATTAGTAAAGTTGCTAGTAATATTGGCATAATCTTA